CCTAAAGTCTAGCTAGAAGCTAAACGTCAACAGACTGGCTGGAAGCTAAACGTCAACAGACTGGCTGGAAGCTAAATGTCAGCAGACTGGCTGGAAGCTAAACGTCAACAGACTGGCTGGAAGCTAAATGTCAGCAGACTGGCTGGAAGCTAAACATCAACAGACTGGCTGGAAGCTAAACATCAACAGACTGGCTGGAAGCTAAACATCAACAGACTGGCTGGAAGCTAAACGTCAACAGACTGGCCAGAAGCTAAACGTCAACAGACTGGCTGGAAGCTAAACATCAACAGACTGGCTGGAAGCTAAACGTCAACAGACTAGCTAGAAGCGAAACATGTCAAAAAACTGGCTAAAAGCTAATAGTAGCATGTGAACACAAAAAATAAAGCTTATGTCCTGTACTGGCAACTCTTCTCATCCAACACATTCATCTTTTTTTTCTCTCTCCAGTCCAGAAGCAGCTGAAGAATCTCCTGGACAGACGCAGGGATGGACGGAGGTTGGACGTGAGCAAGTCTATGTCCCGTCCAATCAGGACATCGGCTGCAGGTTCAAACTGCACTGCACGCCCCGAGACGGAGATCGCAGCGGTCTGACCAAAGAGCTGATTTCTGTCGGAGTGGTGGAGGCGGGGCCGGGTGTATGCATGTTCGACAACCGCCACGCGTACACGGTGAAAGTGGCGGCGTGGCCYTTGGTGAGGGTGGTGTCCTACAATGTCCTCGCCAACATCTACGCTCAAACTGAGCTGTCCAAGACTGTGCTGTACCCGTACTGTGCCCCCTACGCCCTGCAGCTGGACTACAGGCAGATCCTGATCAAGAAGGAGCTGGCTGGGTACAACGCTGACGTCGTCTGTCTGCAGGAAGTGGACAAAAGTGGGGACTGACCTCAGTGACCCGTTCACAGCATCATTTAGTGAGTGCACATCATGATTTAATGCTCGGTGTTCTGGCTTCTTCAGGCGTCTTTCCYGACAGTCTGGTTCCGGCTCTGTATGCTTTTGGACTGGACGGAGTTTTTAAGCTCAAAGAGAAGCAGAATGAAGGATTGGCTACGTTCTACCGCAGGTTGGTTCTTCCATCAGCTAAAATCTGGGTTTAATTTTAAAAAAATCTCGCACTGTGATTCTAAACCTAAAAGAAACGACTCTCGTGGTGTTTCAGGTCAAGGTTTCGGCTGCTGAGCAGCCATGATATCATGCTGAGTGAGGCCTTGACCTCTGACCCCATACACTTCGAGCTGCTGGAGAAGCTCTCTGCCTACAGCACCCTGAAGGACCGGTTTCTGAAGATGTCCACATCGCTGCAGGTACACATGCTAAATGTGTAGATGATGTGTTAACACACAAAAACCAGACAAACTGCATTTTCTYTTTTAAAAAAAGCATGAAAAGGTAGAGCCAGAATGACTGCTGAAGAGCTGTGTAGAAGCAAAACTTGTCGAAAGGTTGACTAAAAGCTAAAAGTATCAAAAGCCTGGATAGAAGCCAAACCTGTCAAAAGACTGGTTAGAGGCTAAATGTATAATTTGGCTTTCTAGCAGCTAAAAGTATCAAAAGGCTAGCAAGAGGCTAAAAGTATTAAAAGGTTGGCTAGCAGCTAAAAGTATTAAAAGGCTGGCTAGCAGCTAAAAGTATTAAAAGGCTGGCTAGAAGCTAAAAGTATCAAAAGGCTGGTTAGAGGCTAAAAGTATCAAAAGGCTAGCTAGAGGCTAAAAGTAGTGAAAGTTTGTCTGGAAACTGAAAGTATCAAAAGGCTGCCTAGCAGGCTAAAAGTATTAAAAGGCTGGCTAGCAGCTAAAAGTATTAAAAGGTTGGCTAGCAGCTAAAAGTATTAAAAGGCTGGCTAGCAGCTAAAAGTATNCTAGCAGCTAAAAGTATTAAAAGGTTGGCTAGCAGCTAAAAGTATTAAAAGGCTGGCTAGCAGCTAAAAGTATTAAAAGGCTGGCTAACAGCTAAAAGTATTAAAAGGCTGGCTAGCAGCTAAAAGTATTAAAAGGCTGGCTAACAGCTAAAAGTATTAAAAGGCTGGCTAACAGCTAAAAGTATTAAAAGGCTGGTTAACAGCTAAACGTATTAAAAGGTTGGCTAGAAGCTAAAAGTATCAAAAGGCTAGCTAGAGGCTAAAAGTATTAAAAGGCTGGCTAGCAACTAAAAGGCTAGCAGCAAAAAGTATTTTTTGGCTAGCAAGAATCTTAAATGATCAAAAGCCTAGTTAAAAGGTTCATATATGGTATTTTGGCTAGCTAGAAGCTAATCGTAGCTCGTACAGACAAAAGTAGATCCAGTTTGTTGATGCAGGTTTCAAAGAGAACCATGTTTCTGAAGGACCTGATGAGAGCTCTGTGTGTTTTTATTCAGACATTATTTGTACAGGAAGTCAAAGGTTTAGTTGTAGTCAGCTYTGAGTTCTCCTGCAGGTCACTGTGCTGGAGGACATCATAAAACCAGACAGGAAGGTCTGCGTGGCCAACACTCACCTGTACTGGCACCCAAAAGGTAAAAGGACTCTGTGTGAACTCACRTGAACGATCTGCACCAGGTGAACCCTCTGAATCTCTTCAACCTTTATTCATGTTAAAGGAGGGAACATTCGCCTGGTCCAGATGGGCGTGGCTCTGCGGCACCTGAATCATGTGATCAGCAGTGTTGCACCTGGAGCCCCGCTGGTGTTTTGTGGGGATTTTAACTCCTCCCCAAATTCAGGTAACGTCACACCTGAGAGCATCACAACATCATTTATTATCATTCCTGTTTAAAATAAACAGAACTCTTGTCCCGTTGTTGTTGTGTTTGTTGATCTGTTGGTTCCAGGTGTGTTCCAGCTGCTCAGTGAYGCCGCCATCCCTCAGCAGCACGAAGACTGGAGCAGCTCGGGTCCAGAGGAGTCCTGCAGCATGGACCTGAGCTCCTGCTTCCCCCCTCTGACGAGTGCCTGRGGACAGCCGGCTTACACCAACTTCGTGGGAGGTTTTCACGGCTGCCTGGACTACATTTTTATACAGCCGGAGAGCATGCAGGTTGTTGGATCTTGATTAATTACTGAGGTTGTAGTGAAGCAGGATTTACATTTTGTGTAAACTTTATGTTCAGGCAGCTTTGGATCAGTGTTGAAGCCTTAAAAATAAATTTGTATTTTGCCTTTGTGGCTGGAGCTAACGTGCAGCTGTGTCTGTGCAGGTGGAGCAGGTGATTCCTCTGCCCAGCCATCAGGAGGTCACCACCTACGAGGCTCTGCCCAGCGTGGCTCACCCCTCAGACCACATCGCTCTGGTCTGTGATCTGCGATGGAATCCCTGACCCACCTCTGACCTCTTGTGAAAAAGACACGATTAAATTGTCAGGTCTTAAAACCTTCCTGTTGATTTTTGTTTTTGCTTCAATACAACAGAAAAACTGTTGTAAAACACATTTTTATAAAAATACAGTCATAAACTTTGTTTTAAAGACGTGACTCACTGATATTCAGTGTTGTGTTTGCTCATTTTAAATTAAATTGATGATYGATTGTAGGTCACTAGTCTGAGGAAAAATTTATTTCAAGCTCAAAAAAAGAAAAAGAAAAAAAGAAATATAAGAACTGTAG